TGTCAAAAGTCACAAACTGTGATGTAAAGTCCAGATGATGTATAACAGTAAGGTAAAGCAGCAGCAGCAGCAGCAGCGTTGTCTGTATTAACATTAGATGACAACTGGCCCGGGATGAGGACACACATCTGATCATCCCCGTCCCGAGAGGTAAGGAAGGCACCCAGGAGAGGCAAGAGGGGGGGGGGGGGGGGGGAGACGCTCCCCACTTTACCAGTCGGGGCACCACAGTAAAGATAAAGATATAAGGACCATGGAAACAAACGCAAGTGTGGGAATGAGAATGAGATCGTAACCACGAGAGTTATGCCACGTTAGAAGGAGAACAAGAACCTTGACAAAATGAATGGTTGCAACGTACGAGAGCAGGAGCGGACGATAATGGGAAAGTAGGAAACAGTCATACTGTCATAGTCATCCTGATCATTATCATACTGAACATGGGGTACTCCTGACGTCACATCTGATACAGAGTGGTGCACCCTCCCCCCGGCCCGTACCTGTGGGGTCGACGCAGGCTCTGAGGGTGCAAGCCCAGGCCCCTCCCAAGCAGGAACACTGGTTACAACCGTCGGTCTTCCTCTCACCGTCCAGACAAACACCGGGATTTACTGTGAAAGGTATCAGCAAATGTAGGTTAAATGTATATGGGTTAAAACCAACAAACCGCTCTATCTTACGTGAAGTGCAAAGCTGGTGTGTAAGCAATTTCTTATATTTGCACTAGACTAAAAGACTAAACAAGGTGCACTAGACGACCAGTGAAGGTCTTTACTGGCATAAGTTCTATGTTGCTGTGCGTACCAATCTCACCACGTCGGCGCCCCCCCCCCCCCCCCCTCCACACGGCGTCAGTCCGTTGCACGGCTTCAGTAAGCTTAATGGACAGCATTACATTCATTAGTGCGTCAGAATGGGAGCGGACGGCCGTATCAAAGTCATTGCGTTATAATACAAGATCCTTAAAACTTCCTGGCACAACATCAGAAGCTCCAAACTTCAACTGCAAGCTCACCTTCACTTCAGTCAGAACAGGGCCAGACTAAGCGTGGCTCAGTTTCAGGCCCTAACACCAGATGTACGCACCTCGCCTTGTTGAAACGGCTTGACACACCACCACAGCCAGGGCCAACACGATGAGCACACGAGCCCCCATACTGGGTCCGGTCGACGTAGCACTGACACGTTCCGACCGAGCTGGACGGCGTACTGGCCCGATCTGGCAGCTCGAAAGGTCACCAGGGCTCAGCGGACGTGCACACGGCGGGCCGCCGTCCGTCAGCCCGAGGTCACGGTGCTGTCCTGGCCGGCCGGTGTCCGTCACAGCGGCCGGTGCCAGCAGCTCACTGTCAGACAGTGGGCCCCGCCACCCCGGCCGGCCGTGTCACGTCACCCGGCGGTGAAAGTTCGCGTGACGGTCCGACACCGGCACCTATGTGTGCCAAGCGGGTCATGGCATCCCGGGTGACCGGATGGACAGGAGTCCACGGGTGGCGTCTGGTCACCGTTTGTAGATGGGTCGCATGGATTACAGGGTGTCGTAAAATCAATGTGAGCTCCTGCCATCATCTTCTCTCACTCCACAGCTTTAAACATGCCCCCTCCCCCTACGGCTCTCATCATTTCCCCCTCTCCACACGGCGACGAATTTCAGCATATATTCCGTAGGTCGGTAGTTCAGCACGCTAGATATGGCGCCATAGACTCCTCATTCCGCCAGCAATTGGGTGGAGCAAAGCCCTCACCCCTCCCCGTAAATCTTCATAAACATTCTATAAGCAGACGTGCTGCAATGGCATCTTCCTCACCTAGAGGATTGGGCCTCAAACACGTAATCACTTATGTCCGGAGTGTGTTATGAATCGGTGAACCCAGCCTTTTGTCTTATTAGCTATGAAATGTCGTGCTAAGCTTACAGATACCCGATCTTTTTTAACTGAGTTATTGGCACATTTAATCGGTCGAGACCTAATTTGCAGACATCCAACAACGCAACGAATGCTTTTGCAAGCAATACTTCATACCTTAACGAAAGACTGAGCCATTGTTTTCACACTTAACAGTCTGTTTGCCCAATGGCATGTCCGAAACATTCATAGCGATCAAATGCTATCATCGCATGGCCTCCACTTGTACCCGAAAAAAGTAATGATAATAATACTCCAATAATACCCTACCCCTCTCTGAAGCCGCCGGGACAGCGCTGGGTTTGGCCTGTGACCGTGACCGCTTCCCGTCACATTGGCGATGCCCAGAGCCGGCGGCTGGCTGGGGCCGGGTCCGCTGGCAGGAACATCAGCGGTCCTTGCCCGGCTGGTCCTGGG